GTAAGACCAGGTAAAGTGACTACTCAGCTGGTAGTTTAAAGGTGTAACAGGTGAGTCACAAACTGTTCTTCCTCCTCAGAGTCCAGAAGAACTGGAGAACCTCCTCCCATCATCCACCAAACCGGGTCAGTCTGTCTTCAGGTCCAGGATTCACTTATGAACTGGTGTTGAACTGGTTCGGTCCAGTCTGAACTGGTTTGTTTGGTTGTTTGTGTAGAACACAGTGAGGAAGCTGAACTACAGAAACCAGACAAGATGATGCAGGAGGAGGAGTCAGGCCCTGCCCAGCCCTCTCCTGATTGGTTGGCTGAGGTGAAGCTCTGACCAATGACAAACAACGACTCACTTCTGATGGCTCCAGATGAACCGTGTGTGTGTGTGTGTGCAGGCGGATTCCTGTCTGCTGGATCTCAGCGACATCAGCAGTGATGTCACGTTTACATCATCCAGGGGTGTAACCTATAGTGGCCCTGCCTTCAGATGCCCTGCCCCAGACCTGCAGCTAGAAACACACCTGAGCCTGTTTCCAGTGGAGCTGCTCACACACACACTGAGCAGGTACACACACACACACACACACACACACACACACACACACACACAGTGTAAACAGGATTGTGTGTGTGTGTGTGTGTTGTTCAGGACGAGGAGTTTGTTCTTCGATCATTTTGAGAAACATTTTCACGACGTCTTCAACTCAGCCGTTACCACGGTGACGGACAGGAAGGAGGCGGCAAAATCAGACCAAGAACTACAACTGAAGGAGCTGAACTACAAAAACATCCAGACACACGTATACCAACAACGCCTGGGTAACACACACATGCACACACACACACACACACACACACACACACACACACACACACACACACACCTCTGTGTGACCTTCTTCCTGATCCCAAAATCTTTAAACTGCAGAATGAAAATAATGTCTTTGTGTGTTTGTGTGTCTTTGTGTGTGTGTGTGTGTGTGTGTGTGTGTGTTAGCTGAGCTGCAGCTCCACAGACAGCAGGTGGACCTTCACTGTGAGGAGGTCTCTGAGGTGTTGACCTCCTGCCGGGTGGATCTACAGGATGTGCAGACCTCCATCAGCAGGAGGAACCAGGAGTTCAGCGTCTGTCTGTCCATTATGGAGGACGTTTTGACAGCTAACAGCAGCCGACGGTAAGAACTGATCTGAGGTCAGCTCACAGGCGTGTCTGTCTCTTTATTACCTGTCTGTCTGTCTGCAGGCTGAAGGCTCTGAGCTCCACCCTGCAGGACCGTCTGGATCAGCATATCAAAGACACCCAGCACTGTCAGACCGCCTTCAGACAGACAGTCCACCACAGACTGGACCAGCTCAGAACCAGAACCACGAGGCTCCTCAACTCCTTCAGGTAACAACTGGAAGACCCTTTAACTTGTCTGTCTGTCTGCCTGTCTGTCTGTCTGACCGTTTGCCTGTCTGTCATCTGTCTGACTGTCTGTCTGTTTCCTCCTCCTGCAGGTTGTTCAGTGAAGGAGGTGACGTTGCTCCCCCGGAGCTGAGGTTGTTCCAGAAGAGGCTGAAGGAGGAAACCAGACAGATCAGTGTGACGGAAGAGTCCATCTACTCTGAGCTGGAGGGGTCTGAGTCACAGAGTCTACAGCAGGTCTGACCTCTGTCTCTTATTTATATCTACAATCCACCAGATGTTTACGTTTCACTTCCTCTTTGTGCTCCTCCTCCAGCTGAAGGAGGCGTTGGCTCCTCTAGAGGAGAAACTCTGCTTCCTGAAGTCTGAGGTGGACTTCATGGAGAACATCCTGGAGATCATGAGCAGCACACAAGTTCACATCAAGGCTGAAGTACCTGTCTGTCTGACCGTCTGTCTGTCTGATTGTCTGTCTATCTGTCTGTCTGACCGTCTGTCTGTCTCTCTTGTTTGAATCAGACAAACAGCAGTAAACAGCAGCAGGTCGTCATCAGCAGCATGTTGGAGGATCTGAGGAGGATGATGGAGAACACACAGGTACACACAGGAACACACAGGTATACACACAGGTACACATAGGTACACACAGGTACTGTGGTTGTTGATTTTCTTTGAAGAGACTGGTCACAGATGAGGTTGGAGTCGAAGATCAACTTTTCAGAATTCTTTAGTGGACATGAATCATGGGAGGAAAATTACAGCTTGCTAGGCTGTAGGATTACTTCAACTAAACTAAAAAGTTACACGTTCTTTATACTTGTCAGTCTACACACAGGTGGGGGTTGAGACACACACATCATTGTCTGGCTCCCCATCCATACATTGGATGTTAACTAATCTAAACCATATGTTTGAACCTAAAGGTAAAGTAAAATAAATGAAGAACCCTGGCACCCCAGACCCAATCTGTTCAACCAGGGTGTGCCTGGTCACACAAAGCTCAACTTACAAAATTGAAAATACAGTTATAAGTTGTGTAGAGAATGCACATATGCTGCTATAATACAACGTACAATGTTATCAATCCTAACATGTATATACAAGAGATATAAAATATCTCCACAGTACCCACAGGTATACACAGGTACACACAGACAGGTACACACAAGAACAACCAAGTATACACACAGGTATACACACAGGTATACACACAGGTACACACACAGGTACACACAGGTACCCACAGGAACACATAGGTACACACAGAGGTACACACAGGTATACACACGGGTACACACAGGTATACACACAGGCATACACAGGTACAAAATACTACAGCTGTAGCACTTCTTATTAGGGTGGTGTTGTAGTACTGTTGTATTACTACCCCCGTCAGTACTGTAGTACTATAAAACCTTGTACTTCTGTGATGATGTAGAAAGAACAAGAGATCAGTAAGTCTCTGTTTATTGTCTGTCTGTCTGTCTTCCTGTCTGTCTGCAGGTGCCTCCTGATCAGGTGTGTTCTCTCCTGTCATCAGTCAATGAAGAACTCAGGAAGTGCTGCCAGTACCTGGACTTTTCATTGGTACGGTACCTCCTGTTTACTTGGACTACCTTTAATTAATCTACATGGACTACCTCCCGTTTACCTGCACTACCTTTAATCTACATGGACTACCTCTTGTTTACCTGGACTACCTTTAATCTACATGGACTACCTCTAGTTTACCTGGACTACCTTTAATCTACATGGACTCCCTCCCGTTTACCTGGATTACCTTTAATCTACATGGACTATCTCCCGTTTACCTGCACTACCTTTAATCTACATGGACTACCTCCCGTTTACCTGGACTACCTTTAATCTACATGGATTACCTCCCGTTTACCTGCACTACCTTTAATCTACATGGACTATCTCCTGTTTACCTGGACTACCTTTAATCTACATGGACTACCTCCCGTTTACATGGACTAACTTTTGTCCACCTGGACTACCTCCTGTTTACATGGAATGCCCCTTGTCTTCCTGGACTACCACTTGTCTTACTGGAATTCCTTTTGTCTGGACTACTTCTTGTCCAGCTGGAACGGTAAATGGAATGTACTTGTATATCTCTTGTATACCCTGGACTACCACCTGGACTACTTTGGACTACCCTGGACAACCCCAGACTACTCTGGACTACCCTGGACTACCACCTGTCTGATCATCACCCTGATGTTCTGGGGACTATCCTGTTCCAGTGGATTTACAAATTTCTTCCTGAACTAATGTCTACTTAACTGGACTACGTCTGGTCTACGTGGCCTTTTGACTATCTGGTCCACCTGCTGTCCTAGATCTAAGTCTACTATGTGTTCTACTTAACCCTCCATGTGGTTTACCATGTGTGTGTTATTTGTGTGTTTAGGGCACCACCCTCTCAGTTCCTCCTAAATCCAGGAAGCAGGTCCGGTCCGCCCCACCTCCTGGTTTACTGCAGACAAGGAGGACAGGTGTGGACCTCCTGGATGACCCTGTTGTGGGCGTCATCAAGTCCCTGAACAGGTACATAACTAGTACTGCAGGGAGTACTGTCAGCTCTGTTTGTGGTACCTGATGTTTTCTTTCTGTCCAATCAGGTTCAGTCTGATCCAGGATGACAGAAGACCAGCTGCTGGTAAAATCTTCTAAACCTGTTGTATGTATATGTGTTGATCACCTGTATTGATCACCTGTGTTGATCACCTGTATGAACACCTGTATTGATCACCTGTGTTGGTCACCTGTATTGATCACAGGTGTGTCTGTGTTGCAGCTCCTTCAGCTCCACCCTGAACTCTGTGTTGTGGAGAACCAATGACGTCATCCTGCAGGTTGCTGAGGTAACAGAGACTCACTGTCAGTGGAGCATGTGAGCGGTGATGTGGATCAATGTGGACTTTAACAGATCTGTCTGTCTGTCTACCTGTCTTTCTGTCAGGACTTCTACCAGCATTGTGGTCTCAGCAGGTTCCTCCTGCTTCCCGACAGTTTGGACCAATGGGCTGAGAGCATGCAGCAAAGGCTGCTGGGATACCAGGAACAAACCAGAACGTTTCTGTGCACCAGCAGAGAGGGTAGACACACACACACACACACACACACACAGATCTATGAGGATCCTCATTGATGTAAAACCAGGGGTACATCCCAAGTCTCTTAATTCTCATTTCCTTGCTCCTCGATCCTCGCTTGAACCGGAAGTTGTTCTGCGCCGCCATATTGACGGCCGTCCCAAAGCTCTTAATTAGCTCTGAGGATCGAGGAGGGAGGAGGGATCTCTGAGGAGCCATGAGCGAGGACCCACGAGAACAGACTTACAGGAAGTCTTTTAACGGCCGACACGCCCCCTCATTGTTCATCTGTCATGTGATTGGACGCTGCAGACGATCGGACTGATGAGATTTTTTTCAACATGTAAACAGTGAAGACGGATCACAAAAACTCAAGCTTTAGATTTGATTCGTTTTCTGATTCAACATCTGGTTTAAATAAATGTTCATTGTAGTCTGAACAACAAAAGGACCAGAAACAACTTTCTACAAAGAAAGATTTGTGTTTTCATGATCTGAACTTTTATTATGGAAACAATTAAAGTCAGAGGGAACTGGAGAGACGAAACACTTATAAACACTATATATATATATATATATATATATATATATATATATATATATAGAGAGAGAGAGAGAGCTAGAAAGACTTTTCACATCATTTCATTCAGTCACGTGAGGCTGTTCATTCCAACATTTAAGAGAAACAATAATCATATTCTAGGTTATTTAATATCGACGTCACAATCTGAATTTCAAAACGTACAGACGCAAATAATTCATAAATAAGACGATCGCATTCCGCCGGTAGAAATGGATCCTGCGCTTATAAACAGAACACAGGACACAGTTTGTTAACAGACTACAGAGAGAAACACCTCTACAGTGGTGATTACTGTGTGTCTTTATTAGTTATTAGTATTATTAGTTACTGTTATTAAGTACAGTGATCATGTGAACAGACACAAACTTATCAAAAGTCTCTCCAGCTGTTAAAGCCGACTGACAGCTGATCCGACTGACAGCTGATCCTCCGTCATCAGAAACAGACGTCGCTTCACGTGACGCAACTGAGGAAAGGACGTCTCATGTCTCTGAAAACATATTGCCTCGTTCCTCTCTCCTCGCATGGTTTCCTCCATGCATCCCTGGTGGGAGGGACTAAGACGCAAGGAAAGGACCCAAGTGAGGGAAACGGGGATGCAATTAAGAGACTTGGGATGTACCCCTGGTGTGAAGTCTGTGAAGGTCTTCAGACGTCCTCACAAAGATAGAAATACAACATGTCTCATCCTGCCTGTCTCTACCTGTCTGTCTCTACCTGTCTGACTTTACCTGTCTGTTTCAGAGTTGGAGACACAGCGGTCTCTGACGGAGAGTCTGCTGCTTTCATTACCTGAAGTTTTGATTAGTAACCATGAGCAACGACATGGGGAGGAGCTTATTGAGGAGATGGGCAGAGTTCGAGTGAAGCTGGAGGAGACGCTGGCAGCCAGCGAGGAGGACAAGATGTCCACAACATTCACAACATGTCTGTCTTCATCTGTCTGTACTTACCTGTCTGTTCTAACCTCTCTGTCCTCACCTGTGTGCCTTCACCTGTCCTAACCTGTCTGTCCTCACCTGTCCTAACCTGTCTGTCCTCACCTGTCTGTCCTCCCCTGTCTGTATTCACCTGTCAGATAAGATAAGATAGATAAGATAGACTTTATTGTCCGGAAGGAAATTTGTCTTGGAAACATACATAGTCATAGACAGTGTCTGCCGTTAAAACAATACAAATAACATATTGCATACATACATTACATACACAGACTGTCGCCAGTTCCACACACAGTACCTACAGTAGATGCAAAAGACCAGCCAACAAATAAATTTCAAACTGCTCGTTGTAGCACGCACCAGTAGTGTATAGTTAAGATAATAAAAATAAAAATCCGTGTTACAGGAGTCAAGCTTGCCATTTAGGGCTTTGATGGACAAGGGGACAAAGGAGTTCTTAAAGCGGTTGAGCCTGCACTGGGCGACTCTGAAGCGTCTGCCTGAAGGAAGAAGCTGGTATTCAGAGTGGAGGACATGGGTGGGATCTGAAATAATCTTCTGGGGCAGTCTGATGATAGTTTCATCAAAGATGGCCTGGATTGTGAGATGCTGTCTGACTCCGTTGACCTTCATGGCTCTTTGTGTTAGCCGGGTGATCTGGGCTTTCAGCTGTACACTGAGGTTGCCAAACCAGGCTGAGATGCCAAACCGCAGGATGCTCTCAACTATGGCGTGGTAGAAGAGGAGCAACACTTTCTGGTTGACACCACTGGTAACCACTGGTGAGTGGTCTCCAATGTATTTGGGGTTGAATACCATCTCCTCTGTTTTCCTAAAGTTGAGGATGAGGAAGTGTTTGTCGCACCACTGGACAAAGTTCTGAATCTCATGTTTGTACACAGCTGTATCCGATATGTCAGACATGAGACCCAGGATGGCTGTATCATCAGAAAACTTGATCATGTAATTGTTAGCAGTGCTGCATGTACATTCATTAGTGTACAGGGTGAACAGGGCTGGTGAACTGACGCACCCCTGGGGGGCGCTGGTGTTGATGGTAAAGGGTTCAGACAAGGTCCTGTTCACCCTGACCTGCTGGGTAAGGTTGGTGAGGAATGAGTGCTACCACTTAATAGTGAAGGGGTTGACATTTATCAGCTGCAGTGTATTCAGGAGAACATGAGGCTGTATGGTGTTAAAGGCTGAACTGAAATCTACAAACAACAGTCTAGCATAGGCCCTCGGATTCTCGAGGTGTTTAGTCACTAGGTGCACTATACTGTTGGTTGCATCATCAGTGCCTCTCTGCTGTGTGTATGCAAACTGGTAGGGATCTAGCTGTGGGCCTACATCCAGCCGTAGTTTGCTCACCATGAGCTTCTCCATACACTTCATCACAACAGAGGTTAGAGCAATAGGTCTAAAATCATTATTCTCCTGTGGACAGGGTTTCTTAGGGACCGATATGATGATTGCCTTTTTCCATTGTGTTGGTACAGTGTGAGAATCTAGGGACCTCTGGAAAATGGGTACCAGGCAGGTGTCAATTCATCTGCACATGTTTTTAATAGAAAAGCAGAGATACCATCTGGACATGTGGCCTTGTTGACATTGATTTGCTTAAGGACCTTGTTGACGGATTTATGGTCAATCTCTAGCCTGTCAACATCATCAGTAGCAATACTATCAAGCACCATGTCACATTCAGCAGAGAAGTCATAATTGTCAAACTGCTTGTAAAAAACATTCAGCTCATTTGCTTTAGCCAATTATACAACATATAATGATGTTTTTGTGGGTTTCATGTTGGTGGCTGTTTTCATGGAGTTACATAGTGTTTTAGAGTTCATAGCATGGAGGTTTTCCTCTATTGCCTCCCTATGGTGTTCCCGAGCTTCTTTCAGCCTCTGGTTCAACTCCTTTTGTACAGTTTTTAGTTGTAGGTGGTCGTTGGTCTTAAATGCCTGTTTTTTTCTTTTAATACAGTCCTTGACGTCCTTTGTTGTTTGGATAGACTTTTATTGTCCTTTTTGGAATCACAGTGTCAACACAAAATGTTATGTAACTTGTGGTAACTTCTGTGGCATTGTCCAGGTTTGGCTCTCCAGAGAAGGTATCCCAGTCTGTACATAGAAAGCAACCTCTCAGTGTTTCCATGCTGTCATCTGTCCATGCATTGATAGATTTAACCAGAGGTTTACTGCTCTTCAGGGCTGTCTTGTATGTGGGGATCAGATGAACGGTGTTATGGTCAGAGTTAGACAGGGGTGGTTTAGCTATGGCTGTGTATGCATGTTTTACATTACCATAGCACTTGTCTAAAGTCCGATTCTTGCTGGTATCACAGTTAATATACTGTTCAAAACCTGGCAATGCAATGTTTAAGTTGCAATGATTAACATCTCCCATGATGAAAATCTGGGCGTTTGGGGTGCGCTGTAGTTGTTCGTGAACACAGTCTGCCACCTGTGCCGCAGGCCTCGAGACATTGCCATTGGGAGGTACATAAACAGAGCAGATGAGGATATTACTAAACTCTCGAGGTAGGCAGAACGGCCCGAGACTCACACATAACAGTTCCACATCAGGGTTACAGATTTTCTCCCAGACTGTGTGCTGTCTGCACCACTTGTCATTTATGTACAAACAGAGCCCGCCCCCTTTGCTTTTCCGTGACAGCTCGCTTCTGTCAGAGCGAATGTGTGAGAACCCCTCTATACCAACACAGCAGTCAGGGATCTCTGGGTGTAACCAAGTCTCGGTGAAAAGCATGATACAGGTCTCACGGTACTCAAAGCATACCCTTGTCAGGAGTCGGAGTTCGTCCATCTTATTCCTCAGCGACCTTACGTTACTCAGAATCATAGATGGCAGGTGCGGTCGATTGCCTCTTCTCCGTAGCCGTTGTCGTACACCTCCTCTCCGGCCTCTTTTCCGCAATCGCTGCCGACGTGGAGCTCTAATGTCTTCCGGCACATTGTTGAGGAGCGATCCGAAAGGATCTGCTGTGAGCTTATCTCCATAGTGGCGTAGAGACAAGAGCGCTTCCCTCGTGTAAGATAGCGCCTGGTTGGTACTTGCCCAAGCCAGTGTAGCCTTGCAGGTGGTGAAAAGTTCGGACAGGAGCAGTAACGCCACCAGAAAAAAATCCCAAAACACACGCCATCATATAGTCCTTTTGTCTTGATCATACGAATTGAACATAGGGCAAACCGATCGTTCACAAAAAGCCAAACAAACAACAAACAAACAGCAGCACAGGTACGCATATCCGTGTCGCCTGCAGAGCAGCGCCAGTGTGACACACCGGTGTCCTCATCTGTCTGTCTTTACCTGTTCTCACCGGTCTGTCCTCACCTGTCTGTCCTCACCTGTTCTCACCTGTCTATCCTCACTTTTGTGTCATCACCTGTCTGTCCTCACCTGTCTGTCCTCACCTCTCTGTCCACACCTGTCTGTCTTCACCTGTCTCTCTGCACCTGTCTGTTCTCACCTGTCTGATCTAACCTGTCTGTCCTCACCTGTCTGTCCTCGCCTGTCTGTTCTCACCTGTCTGTCCTAACCTGTATATTCTCACCTGTCTGTCTTCACCTGTCTGTCCTCACCTGTCTGTCCTAACCTGTCTATTCTCACATGTATGTTCCAACCTATCTGTCCTCACCTGTCCTCAGCGTGTGAACATCCATCAGCTGCGAGTGTCTCTCAGAGACGACGATCTTCAGAATGTGAACATCAGAGAGGAGCTCAGACAGCAGCAGCTGCAAAGCTCCATCTGCTCTTTACACCTGGAACTACAGGTAGGAGGGGGAGGAGTCAGTGGGACAGCTGTTAACACCAGTACCTGTCACACCTGCAGCACCTGTGTGTTTTCTGTGTTTGTGTGTTCAGGTGTGTGTGAGAGTCAGAGGGGAGGAGTTTGTGACATCACTGTCCCGTCTGACAGAGCAGCTGTTCTCTCAGCTGGAGGAGCTGCTCACATTTGAAGGTGACTCACCTTTGACCCGCCTCCTTTTACACCTGTGTACCTGTGACCTTCGGGTCATTAAGCTTCCTGTTTGTTTCCATAGAAACAGAGGCAGAGCAGCACTCTGACATCAACACCGTCACCACAGAGACGGAGGCTGAAACAGGAAACAGCAGGCAACACCTGATCTCTGACCTGTTACTGTGAGATCATGAATAGACATTAAACACTTTAAACAAATCAGGTTATTTTTAACAGCAGTATTCCCTTTACACAGTAGCAGTTAAAATATGGTTATAATGATTCTGATAATAGATATTCAGCCGGTGTTCACAACTTTATCTTCATGTGTGTAAGAGATGCAATTTGAAATATACACCTTGAAAACTGCAAACCTATCTACGTCACGTTTTTATGTTTGTTCAATTCTCAGTAGTGATAACTAAATGATATGCTTATTATACATATTACAAACAAAAACACTTTAAAAACTCTAAAAAAATTATTTAAATTAATCATTTCTTTTTTTGGTATTTTGGTCAGACACATATGCAACGCTGATTACCGTAATATGTGTGGTATTTGTTATAAATATACGTTGGTACATAGAGGGTGACAATAAGCTGTACTTGGAGGGACTTAGGACCCAGGGGAATGTAGGTGAAGGAAACAGGAAGAGACGGAAGAGACACCACACAAACAGCTGTTCACCGCTCGCTGCCCGGTTCTTGTGTTAAAAATGTCCGCTTAATAATAAAAAAAAAGCGTTATTATCGCGTTAACTTGCCCAGCCCGAATATATATATACATATTTATATCACAGAACACTTTACAGCCAATGACGTCATCACAAATCTTCACAATAAAAGCCCTCCATCACCTGTGTGTGTGTGTGTGTGTGTGTGTGTGTGTGTGTGTGTGTGTGCGTGTGTGTGTCAGGACCTGGTCTGGTATCCCGTACCTGTCCCCCACCAACAGTAACGATGACCCATCATCCAGTTTTACTACGCCAACAACAGCATCCATCACCACAACCAGGTGCACCCTGGGACATCAGGCTGTCATTGAGCAGAGAGACGCTGCTGTGAAGGTACACACACACACACACACACACACACACACGCAGAGGACTGAACATAATGTTACGTTAGTGATTAATGTGATTAATGAGTGTGTGTGTGTGTGTGTGTGTGTGTGTGTGTGTGTGTTTGTCTCAGAGGTTCGAGCAGCTGTTCAGGTCGGAGTCGTCACGTTCAGACGACGACCAACGAGGAAGACTGAGTGAACTACAGAACTGGAACACACACTGGAGACAGCAGATACACACTCTGAAACACACACACACACACGTAGGCTGAAGTGTGATACCAGCAGCTGATTGGCTGTTTGCTGTGCAACCTGTGTTGATGTCTGTTAATAAACCACAGAAGAAGAAAAGGAACAGAGTCTCGACTTGTTTTAGTTGTTGCTCCAGGTGACGATCTGGAGTCATCACCTGAACACCTGAATACCTGAGCGCCTTAACACCTATACATAAAACATTATATTAACAGGATGTTGATTTAAAGTGAAACCGTCACTAGCATTAAGCTAACTACACATCAACGTTGAAAGTAATCTAAAATAAACAAAATAAAATAAAATGTAGTTTCATTTCTAACATTTCAGTTTAGATTAAACAAACATATTTAACATGTTAGCGGTTTAAAGCTAGTTGTTGATCCCTGTTTCTAGTCTTTATGCTAAGCTAAGCTAAATATGGACATTATTTTCCCTCTAAACACTTGAGAGAAGATTTATCTAAATACAAACAAACATAATCAAACATAAGAGTTCATTATTTAAAAATAACAACAAGATGGAACTGTTTTATATTTAATGATGCTGCAAATACAAACAAACCGACCAATCAGCAGCCAGAAGTCTTTGTGATGTCATCAAAGGTATATAACTTCACTTTAAAAATAAAGGGCTTCTTAGGAGGCCTTCTATGAAAAACAGGTCCTACACGAGCATCTAGAAGAGGTTCTAAGGGGGTCTGAGGGTCTGGAGGAGGTTCAAAAGAGGTCTGGAGGAGGTCTGAGGGTCTGGAGGAGGTTCAAAGGGAGTCTATATATATATATATATATATATATATATATATATATATATGATATATGTATTTACTTACATTGTACATATTGTTAAATGTTTATACCTACATTGGTTTTGTTTTCTTGTTTATTGTAAATTTGTGTATGTACATCGAGAGCGAAGTGGAAACCGGAGTCAAATTTCATGTATGTGTATAGGTCCAAAAGAGATCTGGTGGTCTGGAGGAGTTCAGGACTCTGAGTCAAGGTTGGAGATCTTGTCGATGGACTGCAGCAGTTGAGAGACCAGACAGAGTTTCTGCTTCCCCCAGCAGTTGACGGAAGACAGACAGACAGACAGGTTACAGTGTTAGCATGTTGCTGTTGAACCTGTCGTCTCTGTCAAACAGGACTCGGTAGAAATGAGGAACGTCCAACATGTCCTCAATCTGATGATCTGATGGTCTACAAATCAACACACACACCGGATGGAGGAGTTGGCGTGGCTTACCGTCTTGTTCAGGTACTCAGATGCAACCTGAGCATTGTGTCTCATCGTCATGACGTTCTCCGACTATAGAGTGTCGACCTCCACCTGAGACACAACACACATATACAGTATATATATATGCGAAATACGGCCGGGAGCTGTGCTCGCCGGCCGGTGCGACCACCGACCGGCCCCGACCGTCGCGAGCGCGACCGCCCGCGGGCGGACCGGCCGCGGTTGTGGAGCTCCGTTTCCCTGCGAACTTGTTCATTGATCTGTAGATCCACTCGGGTTTCTCCAAAAGTTTTCAAAAGCACCGTAGTGTCCTTCCGTGCTATGGCGTCCTCAGGTTAGCGTAGCATAGCTCCAAACACCAAGATGCTCAGTTAAAATGAAACACATTCCCAGCCATAAAATGTATGACGCTGTCAGCCAGACAGCTGTGCAATGAGAAAATAAGCTAATGGGCTAATGGGAAAACTATATATATAAAAAAAAAATTATAATACATGTAATGTATTTATGAAAAATTATTAAATTATAATATAGCTATAACTTTGTGATTCTGTTTAGGCCAGCAGAGAAGGCTTAGCTGGCCCTGACCCACCACTGCCTTCCACTTCACAGCGTCTCTCCTGGCAACACCTCTACAGAAAAGAAGTCACATCGTGCCCCAGATCCACACAGATGACCGAGGCACACACTGCAAAGTGTCTGTTAACCAGCCTCAAAACATTATTTCTCTAAAGCAGGGGTCTTGTTATTGTTATTGTGCATTCAATACTAAAAAATATTCACTCCATCTGACAGTATCTCATATGTATTGTGTTTAATCTTGTTCCAGGCCACTCTTCATTAAAGTCAGGCTATTTGACGTCAGTACTGTATTTTCCATCATAAGTTCATGAAGGAGACCCTTGAATCAACTGAAATCTTGGCAGTGGGATGCCTTATTTTCCTTAGCTTAACCCTTTACAGGGCACTCATTGAAATATTTTGAAATTCAAAATGTCAACCCTAGAGTGCTATTGGAGGACATAACAATACTATTTTACTGTTGCGATATTTAAAAAATATATATATTTTCAGGTAGAAAATCAACATCAACGAAGTTATCATATTTGGTTCCTTGCCCGTTTGTGGTATAAAAAAAATACAAGAAGTGTATATAAAAAAATACAAGAAATACACATACAAGGTGAAAGGAACATGTATTTATTAACATTATAACATCACTTTTAGAACATTAAAACACATGCTGGTACTGGAACAGTCAACATACACATCAACATTAGGCCACAACATTAGGCCACTTCTTCATGGTAACTGATGAAGCAGTTGCGCTCACTGTTCATGCAGAGGTGGACCTTGCAGACCCTGCAAACCACATTTGATCTTATTATGTTGCCTTTCCGGCTGCAGTACTTGCAGGTCTGGCGTTTGGCATAGACGGGGGGGGGCATGGAAGAGGGACAGATTGAACCGCTCAGCGTCATTTGGGGTGTGGCTGCGGTGTCCCCGGACAGGCTTAGGGATCTCAGTAATGCGGGTCAGGCTGTCAACAGAGGCCATTGAGCTCCTTCTGGAGCTAGAGGTGGCTGGTCTCTGGCTGCTGGCAGCCCTAAACACCTTGATTCTGAAATACTTCAGACACGCCTTTGACACCAAGGGCCTTGCAGTCCCGGATGTACATAATCCAGGCATTTGTGAGGCTGACATCAATGGAGTATGCAAAGAGTCGTAAGTACCACCTCTTGAACTTCATGGGGGTGCGGTAGAGGTGGACCAACATGTCACTCTTGTCAATGCCCCCCATGTTGGCATTGTAACTCCTGATGACAGCTGGACAGCTCACAGGCTCCTTTGTCGTGGTCTCTCTGCAGTACCTTATGACTGAGGACATCGGCTCGACCCCCACGTCTGTTGACAGCAGAGTGACCGTTTTGTTGTCCTTCCACGTCACGGCCAGTATCCCATCATCACTAGTGACGTAGTCACATGTACCACGAGGGACAGTCTTTTTCTCCATCTCTTTGACGGCCTTGAGTGTCGGCTTTCTGATCCTATTGTCCCTGGCTGTCCCCGTGTACCTGCAGTTATGGTCTCGGAGGTACCGCACCAGCTCCAGGCTGCTGAAAAAGTTATCAGCAAAGATGGCTGTGGTAGTGAGGGAGGACATGGAACTGGCCAGGACAGAGACAATCTGGCTGGTGGCACCCAAGGCTTTTTGTTCAGGTGTTAGGGAGGCATCATGGCCCTCCACGGTAGTCTTGCCCTGGTATAGCACCATGTCATGGATGAAGCCATCCTCAGAGGCCCTGGCAAACAACTTAAAACCCCACTTGTGTGGCTTGCTTTTTATATACTGCCTCAGGTTGCCGGCTGTCTTCCCTTTGTAGGCAACCATCACCTCATCCACAGACTGTTTGGGGGTCTGTGGCTCAAGCAGGAAGGCGGTAGTGAGGAAGCTGAAGAGAGGCCGGACTTTGAAGAAGCGGTCACTGGTGCCAGGGATCTCGGTGTTGTCCACAGAAGTGGACAACCCTTTTCAGCAGCCTGAACCTCTTAGATGACATCAGGTTGGCAACCTGAGGGACCCTGGTCTCCATGGCCCAGTAGTCTTCAACGGCTGGGAGCAGAACAACCCCCATAAAGATGAGGATGCCCACAAAGGTCATCCTTTCTTCCTCATTTGTGTTGAAAGTGGTGTTTATGTCTTTCTGAGCAGCGTATAAGTTTGTTTGGTGGGTGATATGCCTGATGATTTTGGCATCAAAGTACCTGGTAAAGTACTGAAAAGGGGTTTCACTGTAGTCAGGGGGAGAGTGCTGGTATTCAGGCAGGGCTGTGTTGTTTATGTCAACTTTGTGCCAGGTGGTTGACCTGTCTGCTGACTTACTGGATTTACATGGCCTCTGGGCTTGTGGTGCTGGCTGCTCATCATCATCATCCTCACTGTCACTGTCCTGGAGCACCTCCACGGCAGGCTGCCTGCGCTTCCTCTTGGCAGAGGGGCCCATGTTGCTTGGGCCTGGAATGTCCTGGTTGTGGGTGGTCAGAACAAAGTCAGGGTCTGCCACATCGTCATCGTCATCATCACCTTCTTCTTCATCATCATCACTGATGGCAGGGTGGGCTGGCACAACAACAGTCTACCTCTTTTTGGCATAAAAATCACGAGCAGACACTTGCTAAAAAATCAAACACATGCAATAAAACATAAAATAACTGTTAAAGTTTGTTATAGTTACAGTTTATATGCAGATGTTTGACACGTGTGTGTCTCAAATCTTTGTGTTTGTGACATTTGAGTTCTGCAAATTCTGTCGAGAAAACTGAGCTGAAGCATTAGTGAACTATTGTAACACTTAATCTACTGTACAACAGGTCTGCTTCGCCATCTGTTCAGCATATACTACACATATAGTCACACTGGCTCGCTCCGTCACTTCCAGTCCAGCTGGGAGCGAATCCAGTCTTCCCCCAGTTAGATCAACCTGGCTTTATTAGCAACACAATGCTACTACCTAGTGGTTCAACATCTGCAGTGCAGCTTTACGTTCTCACCAAAGGTCGTCTTTGTGCCTTGCTTACAGTTTATTGTGATACAAATTGAAAAAAAACCTAAATAACTCACATTGATTTCAGTTTGATTGAATTCACTTAAATTCTCTCTTCAAGGAAAATACTGTGACAGTTATTCAGTCTAGAATATAGTGTAGAAAATGAATTCCCGAATCTCTCTTTCATCATCACCGGTTGAAAGTGGGTTGCACATTTGGATCAGTGAACAGAAGCAGAGACGTCCTGCTGCGCTCTCGTTTATTTCATTAGCCGTATGGTTCCCGCTGTGTGGTCTGCGTCTCTACTGCT